ACGAAACTAACACAAATTTTTACCTTCATAGATAAATCTCATACTTATGAAGCTTATCGTCAAAAAATTAAAACCACTGTGCATTCTGTTTATAAGAATGCGATTGACGTCTCGGGAATAGTCCTCGGTCGAGGTACTATATGCTCAAGACGTTTGGAAAACTATCAGAGCGATCCTAGAAGTTGAAAATATGTGTCTCATTCAGTATAAGAGCAAATCACAGCATTGCGATGGACAAGGCGTGATTTATTGTAATATCAATGTGCTTTTTTAAAAGATGTTTCACTTAGATGTTCTAATGATTGAAACTTAATGAATCCAACCAGAAGCAGAGACAGTAGACTATAAAGGAACTGGATTCAAGTATGATTTCTTCAATGTTTTAAATGGTCTGATCGTCAAATGTGGCCTGTGATTTTTGGAGTACAATTGGTTAGCGGATTCGAGGTTTGTCGGTGAATGATGCTGTAAACCGAAAAGCAAAAACGGTCGGTTTGCCATACTAGCTGATCATGACAGTTATTGTTAATCGGTTGATCGATGGTCCGATGCATTACCAACGTGACATTCTTGTCGGCTGCAAATAAAGGTGAAGACACCCGTACGGAAGTGAACACACTGTACATCTGGACATAGCTATTCAAGAGTTCAGTTGTGCTCTGCTTGACCATAATTGCGCGAATCATTCAGGCATTTGACAATGAATTGAAGGCCAGGCCACTTTGTTTTGACTAAGTTTTTCTGTGCTTTGATATACTGTATGTTGACTGACTTTGTCGAAATTACACTGATAATTTGATAAATTTTGCATAAAATACCATTTGGCTCTTAATAAAAATTACTGAATTCTTACGGGCGCCATTGTAGAATCATAAGAAGCCGTCTTCGAATTCCTGAATTTTTGGTTTAAGCATTGAGAAAAACAAAATTAGTCACAACAGCCAATTGCCTTGAACAAGTAGTTCACCCCACCTTGGTTCGATGGCAACAAACTAAGAAACAGGTTCCCAGTTACTGACTTGTGCATAGTGATAACAGTACAGTTGATGAAAGGGACGACCATGTCGTCTGACACGAGAGCCTCTTAATACAGCAATACTCTACAACAGATGTCCTACTTGATTTTCAAATGTAGTCAGCGCAAAGTGCAAATCTAGTGCCATTAAAAATGTGCTGGTGCCGCCATAAAATTTTTGTTGTATCTCGTATCAGTCTGAGGTAATCTATGAGACACAGAATGGGGCGTTAATAGTGATCTATATTCATAATAACTAAGAAATTTTTTGTTCGAAGAGTCATACGTTAAATAACTATGTTACAACCTGTTAAACCTATAAACGGAGTGCGTTGAGTGCATATTAATTTCATTTCATTTTTTTTAATTTACGATTTACACACTGACCTGACG